TCAAGTGTCATACTCCTGGACTGGTATAAATAATGTATTATAGCGTAGGCATGTGCAATGTGTGCTATCACAGCTATAACAGACAATTTTCATCAAGAAATAACAATTTATCAGGTTCAACTGTAAGAATAACCTTAACAAAATCTCAAATACGGTACAAATAGCTCACAGAGGGGTACAAATAGGAGAAACATCTCAACTTGAAGATTAGACATCATTTCAAGGTATGTCATAGCATAAGCACTACCCCGATCATGAAAATAGTACCCCGGTGCATGCATATGGGCTCAACCTCAAACACATGCGCCACCCATAGCACGTAGCTATCACAAATAATTCAGGCAACTAATATCTCAACCAAGTTTAGATAAGATACTTACCTCAAGGAAGCCAAATCACTCCTCTAACAAGCCCTTCCCGCACATATCTACCTCCGAATTATCCGAATCTAACCAAACCAATTAAATATAGTCAATAAAATCCATAAGAATTGATTCCAAATTATAAAGCTAAGATCTTTAACCAAAATTAAAAAGTCAACCCAAAAAGTCGATCCCGAGCCCGCACCTCGAAACCCTACAAAATTCAAAAATTCCGAACGCCCATTCGATTATGAGTCCAACCATACCAAAATCATCTAATTCTGACCTCAAATCGACCTTCAAACCCCAATTTTTCATTTTAGAAAAGTTTCTACAAAATTCCCAATTTCTCTACTTCAAATTACCAAATTAACGACAAAAACAAGCATGGAATCATGATAAATCAACAAATCTGAGTTAAAAATAAAACTCTGATCCAAGAGGTGAAAATCCTCTCCAAAATCGCCCAAAATCGAGCTCTACAACTCAAAATATGATATAGTAACTCAAACCCTCGAAATGGCTTTTTAATATTCTGCACAGGTGCTTACCCTTTGCGAACGCAGAAGAAGCCTCGCTTTCACGAAGCACAATTTTGCCTTTGGCCAACATTCCTCTTCGCGAACGCGACGACCCAATCGTGAACGTGATGACCAACTAGACCACGCCTATGCGAACGCGAGAACTTCCCCGCAAACGTGAAGGCTTAAGCCCTAGTTCCCCTCAGCCGACCTCCCTTCTACGCGAACGTGACCACCCTCTGGCGAACGCGAAGGGCACTGAACTCCAAATCTTCGCGAATGCGAAGAAGCATACACCAGACACCATATCATATATCCAAACATGAAGAAGATGGTCTGAAACTCGTCTGCAACACACCCGAGGCCCCCATGACCTCAACCAATCATACCAACAAGTCCTAAAAAACAACACGAACTTAGTCGAAGCCTCAAATCACATCAAACAACATCGAAATCGCACCCCAATTCAAGCCTGATGAACAAATAAACTTCTAACGTCTAAAACTAATGTCGAATCATACCAAACTAATTCTGAATGACCTCAAATTTTGCACAGAAGTTATGAATGACACAACAAACCTATTTCAGCTCCCGGAACCAAAATCTTACCCCGGTATCATCAAAGTAAACTCTAGATCAAACCTCTTAACCTTCCAAACCTTCAACTTTCCATCTTTCCCCAAAAAGCATCAAACAAACCTACGGACCTCCCAATAAGCATACAGACATACGCCTAAGTCTAAAATCACTATAAAAGCTATCTAAACAATCAAAACTCCATTCCGGAGTCGTCTATACAAAATTCAAACTTTGGTCAACTCTTCCAACCTAAAACTTCAATTTGGGACTAAGTGTCCCGATTCACTCCGAAACATCCTCAGAACCAAACCTACCACCTCCGTAAGTCACATAACCACAAATGAAAATATAAAAGTAATAATCATGGGAACACGGCAACAATACACAAAATGACCGACCGGGTCGTTACACAATGTGTGCTCCTCCGCTGCCAAATTAGGTTACAAATCTTTGGATGACACTTTCTATACCACGCTCTGACAGACAGAGGTACACTCTTAATCCCATACTCTCATTCAACCCTAGCTTGTGGTTGTGACACAGCAAAGTCGCTACCACTTGCTTCCCTTTACTCTGGCTACTAGAGGTAGGCTCAATTCTATTCCTCTTCTTAGGCGGGGGTGCGGAAGTGGACGATTTACCCTTTGGTAGTGCTTATCTTTAGCCGGAGCCTTAGCACTAGCATTTGATGCACCATGATCAATTTACCTACAAATAACATCAATAATTAATTCATGGACCCAAGAAGTACTTTAAAAAAAAAAAGGTCAGAACGACCTCAAACTTAAAGCTTCATCACATTCTACTTCAAATAATTCAAGGTTACTTAGACTTTACCTCTTTCACTTAAGCACATCTTCATTCTTAATTCAGGTATCAAATTAGCAAGTAAGTACTTTGGTCTCACACTTTGTCAATGTACCCGACACCGTTGATCCACCCACACTTAATTTTCATGTTAATCATGCTCACACAATAAATTTCTATCAATCTCGGAGACTCGTGCTCCAACTGGGCAAAAAATCACAGTTGAGGCATTTGTGAACTATTTGTCTCGAAGTTTCTATGTGGGTGAGAGATTGTCTCACCTGCCCAAATCGGCTTGGGCATCGAGTTCGAAACACTCTTTCAATAATAATAATAATAACAATCATATGGGGTTTATGAAGTTTAGAACAATTTTAGCACAAATCACCATTTAAGCTTACGTGGCATTTATTTTTGGATTTTTCTTATTAAATTTTATGCCATGTCATATTTATGGTAGGGGTTTGAGGCAAAATAATTTTTTAGTGACAATGATAAAGTTTAGTTACTTTTAAGTGACAAAAAATAGTTGAATGACTTTAGTAAAATTGAAAGATAGTTCAATGACCATCAGTGAAATTAGCCGTAAAGTTTAGTATTTCTCGTATAATACATTTAAGAGAAGCTCATTCACAGGTTCAACTAAAGTAAATTTCGAGCTTTAGAAAACCTAGATCAGATCTAAAAAGTAATACCTTCAATCCAAGTCAAAGTATAAATTATGAGTAGAATATCGCATAAGGAGAGATCTAAGGACGTGCGGATTGGCCAAATACAGTAGTTTGATCGAAATCTTGTATTTATCTTAAAAAATTTATTAAATTTATAAAAAATTATTATTTGAAACCCAATAACTTAAAGGAACTATAATATCGAATCCATAAGTTTCAAATCTTAACTTCGTATGTTAAGAGATCTAATACCAACAGCCATTACCATAATAGTTAAGTAAGCTAATATTTCATTTAAAACTCTATATAATGCGATATAGTTGATAATCCATTTTTTCCTTTTTTATTGAGTGATATACTTGTTTCCACATGCACTTTGTAGACCTTCATTCATCATATTAAGGTTTTGGATTGTATATCAAATTCTCACATGATATCATAATTAACTTTTAATTAGCTTATCCATAATTGTAAGTCTTATTTAACGTTCATGACTTCACGTACGTATGACACAAAAATCAGTTACATTATTACACAAATAGGTGTGTAAAAGCTTCCAAAGGAAATTACAAAGACGTCTGATTGCCTATATGTTTTGAATTAAATGGTCAAAATCTTTTCACATTTTCTAAAGTTTGATATAAATGTCTCGAAATTTTAAAATATTGATGTAACTATATATGCCAATCAAAGTCAAGCAATTATGTAAATGGTGTATATCACCTCTTGTTTTAATCTTTTTTTGCATAATAATTTAATTATGTCCATGTCAGAAATTCGGCAGTTACATAATTGTACATGTAAATGTGTTCCCAAAATTATGCATGTGATTAGTGGATAAATTACAAACAGCAGCATTAATCATAAAGGTGAATATTACTGAAACCAATCATTTTCATTCTTTAAAGCGCCAGATCTTAAATTTCGCTAAATGGACACTTCATTTCTTCTTTTTTCCAAATTCTGCAGTTCGGTTTTCCTTTTATTTCACCTTTAATGATATGTTTAAGATTATTATAAGGTTAAGGATGTTTTTGGTATGTGCCAAAATTTTAAATTCTTGTTTTCTTTAACTTCATATTCAGATAAACACTGCCATACCAAAAAAAATAGCTTGTCGACATTAACTACCCAACAAACAACAACAATTACATTTCAGTCCCAAATTATACTCCCTTCATTTCATTTTATGTGTTTGACTGGCACATAATTTAATATAAGCAATTAAAAAAAAAAAACTTAACACTTGCAGTCTAAACAAGCAAATAGATATTTGTGTTGGCTATAAATTTTCTCATTAAGAAAAATAAAAAATTTAAAATTATATTATTTTAAAACATAATTGGACCTATCTATAACAATCATCCTCCATAATAATATTTTACTATAATGGTTAAATTTTCTTTGGAATCGATTTTGCATGTTATGTGATATTAGATGTTGTCTATAATAGCATTTTTTCTATAACAATCAAAAAGAATTCAGTGTGACATTGAACGATGCAGTTATAAAAAGATTTGATTATACGTAAAATTATCATTCTTTTGGGACAAGTTAAAATTAGACATGCATCACATAAATTGGAACAATACTACTCTGTACTCCCTCCGTTGGCCTGATCATGTCATTCCAACACCTCTTATCCTACATATAGGGTCGAGAGAGGGTAGAGTGTATACAAATTTTATCTCTACCTTGTCTGAGGTAGATAAGTTATTTTCGATAAACACTCGGCTGAAAAAAATAATTTTCTAAGCATAAGTAGTATGTATTATTTATTTATTTATTTGATGTCACCACCATGCAGTTAATGAAAATCATATCATCCTACCTGTATATACAGATATAGTAGTAATACTTCATTGACTTATCAATCTCCTCCATTTCCCTTCATAGTCTATACCAAGTTCCAACCACATTCACTCCCTCCAACTTTTCTTCTTTCAAGTTTCAACACTCCTATTACCAATTCATTTTTTCATCACTTTTTTTGTCTACTCTTATACATGAATTCTGCTAATTAACCATTAAAATTTATATCCTCTTTGTCATTTGATCAAATGGGCTGTTTTTTTAGCTCTACTAAGAAAACACCTTCAAATCCTATTACTAATTCATCACCTCAATCTTACACCAAACAAAGCAGAACTACTCAAAGATCTCCACCACTTACATTACCATTTCTTGAAGAAGAAAAAGTGAAAGAAGTCCTCTCTGAAACTCCCGCCATACCAAAAAATAATCATCAAAATATTTTGGAACAAAAAAACCAAAATGATAGTGTTTTAAAAATAGCCAAGATTTTCAACCCTAAGGAAGAACTTTCCCAGGAGCAGTACAGAAACTTCAGCAGAAGTAACCGGGTCGGATCAGACCCGAAAGATAATACTAGTAAAGAGCTCAGCAGGCATATCCGGTTCGGGTCACATCCGAAGGACACAATCAAGGAGATCAGCAGGCATATCCGGGTCGGGTCGGATCCGAAAGGGATGACCGGAGATGTTGGAACTGAGCTCCGGCAGAGATCACCTGCAAAGTATCGGAACGACGCTTCTCCGGCTAGAATAAGGCCGGAGTACTTATCCGGGTCGGTTCAGACCCGGAACACTTCTCCCGCTAAAATAAGGCCGGAGCACTTATACGCTTCTCCAGCTAGAATAAGGTCGGATCACTTATCCAGGTCGGGTCCGATCCGGAACACATCTCCGGGTCGGATCGGGTCTGGAAAGAATACAGGCGGATTATCAAGAAAAGATAATGGGGAGAGTTCATTTAGGAGAACAAGGTCACCGGTGATATGTGCAGATCAAAATGGAGGAACAAGAAACAGTATAAGTAGATGCCCGTCGGCCAGGAAATCCGGTAAGTCGCCGGGAAGGGTGAGATCGGAATTGGGTGACCGGCGCCGGAAGCCGCCGGTGGAAGCTGGCAATTATAGTCACAGGGAAAATAGAGAAAACAAGCTGACAAATGGAAATAATGAATCTCTTGAAAATCCACTTGTGTCTATGGAATGTTTTATTTTTCTTTAAAATGTATATTTGGATATTTAAGTAATGTATGTTCTTTTATTTTGTCTGTCGTTTGTTTTTTAAGTTGTAAATGTTAGTATTTATGTAGAGATAATCATAATTTATGTGTACTTATTGGTTCAGTAAACTAATAAATATTTCAAAGGTAAAATAAATCAAGCTTAGTGCAAGAAGTCAAATTAGTATTGACATGTGACTTGAAAGAATGTGATATATATTTTACTCTCAAAAACATGAGACGACTTTAGGCGTTTGGACAATATTTGCTTGAAGTTCAAAAAAAATAATTATTTGAAGTTGAAGTTGAAGTTGAAGTTGAAAAAGAATAGTTGTGAAGTTGAATATGGACATGAATTTCAATTGCAGTTTGGTGAATGAAAAACATTACTTATTTCATTTCAAATACTCCTCAAATATATTTTTCAATGTTAAATTCTCCATTTTCAAGTTAAAGTCGAACTAATGACCAAATTATAAAATAAACTTTAATTTGCAGATAATATTTCAAGTTGTTAAAATTGCAATAATGAAATACTTAATTTTTGTGGCTAATTGGGGCTGCCTAAGATCAGTCTTTTAAAAGGCGTGGGGCGTAAGTCCTGAGGCATAGGGAGTAAGCCCCATAGGTATTTAATTTTTAATATTTTATAAAATAATATAATTACACTAAATATTTATAAACAGATAAAATTGCATAAAAATAAAAAAAACTATAAATATGTGAAAAATAAAATATATATA